CTTGGAGATTGTTCCATATATAAATACTTAATCTTAAGTGAAGTTGTCCAGCAGACCAGTTTATAGAAGCAGATGTCCCCCACACACCCTCAGGAGTTTTGTGACCTTGAAATAGCTTGCTTGAGGCTTTTGAGATTGAAAAAATTTTAAATGCTGGCTATGATTCTGAATTTGGTACTTAGCTCTTCAGTAACTTGCTATGACCAATTTACCTTTTTATTAATATAATTTAGAAAAAGAAATGTTTCATATTTAGTCATGCAATTGTTTAGAAATGTCAATATATTTTCTTTTAAGGGTCTGTCAAAGAATAAGTTGTTATTTAATCAATATTTGTCATTGTGAATAACTGTATGAAAAGGTCAATACATACTGTATTATGCTTCTGGGAAAGAGTATTTCAGTAAATATGAAATACTTCACTAAAAGTAAATACAAAAGATACCTAATACTCAAAATGACTCAAGAGAAATGAGAAATCCCACCTGATGTAGTTTAGAAATTAGTTTGCTTTGAAGTATATTATTTCTGACTCCCTAGCCATAGCCTGTATTTTCATTTTAAGTTCTCCATGTTTTTTTTTAAATCTGCCTCTGTACTATTTGTACGTCTAAAAATTTCATTGCTGTAAACAGGAGACTTGGATATGTGATGAATGAAGTGTTGCAGCTGCCTGAGTAAGAAATTTTTGTGGAGCTAAAGATAGACTTGTCTCTTGTATCTGTTCTTTGGCAGAGAAAAAGGGTGATTGAAGAGAAGTAGAGTATATGAAAGCACAGCTAAAATGCAGACACACTGACATTATAATACAGCGTCTCATCGGGTGATGTGGTGTTTTGACTACATGGCTACAGCAGGTCTATAATTTCAATGCCATTAATGGCACAGAAAACAATAGTGTGGAGACTGGAATACTGTAAAATCTCTGGGTCTGTACTTATAATGCAGATGAAATAACCCTTTGAACTTGTAATGCCAAATGTTGTCCAAAGTTACCATTCTTCCATGAGGAAAGCAGTTTGTTTCTGTGGTGTTTTATGTCTTCTTCTCCTAGCACAGACATTTTCTGTTTAGATTGCTTGGCTTGTGTCCCTACAAAAATCCCAGGCAAAGGGGGGCTGATTCTATTTTGCTTCACTCATGTCCTGTTCACACATTCAGTACAGAATTCGCTATTGTCAATAGTAATGACTGTGTTTTCTTTGTGCTCGTTGTCTTTTGAATATGCTTCTTTATACTTTTCCTAAAGTCACACACAGCACTAGTTTCACCAGAAGCTCTTGGTGTTCAGCTGTAACAGAGTTACACATAGTCCTGTGACTGAACCCTGGCTATAATATCTCATTTGTTTCCCCTTGGCTGTTGTAATGTTTTCTACCACTTACACTTTTCCTTTCCCTTGCTCTCTTTCTTCCTTTTTATTTCTTGCCCCCATTTCAAATTGTATCTGACTTAGTTTTAATTGTTGAACTTAACTGTGTGTAAGTACATGTTTCTGTACCCTCACAGATGTCAAACATTTAATGCACCTTAGTGTAATGTTTGCTCTAATTATTTGCCAAATTGGAGTGAGTCTTTCCAGAAACAGTTCCTGATCTTTGAAAACCTTGCAAAATGTATACAATATGTTAATTGTGAAGCTTTTTTCAGAGCATATTTCAAAGGAGGAGAAGAAATGCTGTGTAAGTAAAACTTGTTTAATGTGCTCCACCACTTCTAGCAGGAGACTGTTACAATAGTTGCATTATTTCTTTATCCTGATCGAATGCCTTTGAAAATCTCACCTAGGCTTTTTTTTTTTCCCCCTTTAAACTGGTTCACTGTGTATGTAGGTCTGGTACTATACCATGTAAAAACTTAGCTGTTTCCAATTTTGGCTAAGTGGATGAACTCTTGTCAAAATATTCATGCAGTGTTAACAAAACTTAAAGCCAACTTAATATTCCATGAACTATAACAAAATATTAAAAGTTGCTAAAGGCATAGGTATGGAGTTTCAACAAAGTTGTTTCTCTTTATAGCATAAGTCTCAAATTTGAAGTGTGGTAAATGTGGGTAGTTAGGTATGCCTTTCTTTTCTCACTTAAAAACAAATCATACCTAATATTCAAAGTGTATGGAGTAGACATGGATCTACTTAATACTGAAGGTAAATAGAATTGAAGAAGAATAATTAATTTATTCTTATTAATTTTGTATTAACTTAGAAACTTTGCATCTTAGCAGAAGTAATTTATTGGGCATTTTCTTTATCTAGTGTGTCTCAAGTGTATAGAAACAGGGTCTTTCAAGTCTGTGGTCATCAAAATGGCTTTCAACTAAACCTGTGCATTCACAGAACTCAGGTTCTTCCAAAATATTGATGCCAGCATGTGCAAAGAAGGAATCTTAGGAATGTTTTGGTCTTGGAAGGAATCTTGATTAGAACAGTCAATAAAATACTAAATGGTACAATTGGCCAACTGAAAGCAATTGTCTTTGTTTATTTCTTACTCAGTGTAGTGGGTTCAGCGCTGGCCAGGGCCACTTGGTTTTTCCTTAACCAAAAACCAAGCAATTTCAAACCACTGCACTCAATACTATTATTAGATAAAGATTTCTTGTGGGCCACTATTCCTGGCTACTGCAATCAGTACTTTTCAGTTTTGTCTGAAGTGAAGTTAATAATTTGTCTTGCACTTGTTGCCACAAACTCTGAGGAGTAGCATGAAACCGAAGCAGAACTTGAGAGAAGTACGAGATAGCATTTACCCAATCTTGCTTTTAGTTAGATCAGAATATGAATTAGTGAAATAACTCTCCTTAGTGGCAGGTTTGGTAAAATCAGTCTTAGTTATCACACTGTTTTCCTACTTAGGAAATAATTTCTGAAATGAAAGGGAACTATTCACACTCAATGGGATTTAAATACAGAGTGAATCTGCACAATTTCTCCGTGTCAGAATAACACACTAAGCACTTTGAAAAATTTTTCCTGATACCTTGTACACAAGTAATTTATTCAATACCAGAATGATTGTTAGTTTTTTCTGATCAGCCTCAAGTATATTTTATAACCTGAGCACAGTTCATTTCCTGATGTAGCAGTGCAGTCCCAGCTGCCCTCACAAGAGCTGAATTCCAGATGTTCCTGTTTTGCTCTGTGGAGCGGTGCTGTAATTGTTGGACAGCAAGGATACAATTTGGCTCTGTGATAATGCTGTATCTGTAGAAATAATTTCACTGTGGCTGTAGGAATGTGTGTATACATTAGGAAGGAAATTATATTATGAATTTCAGTCTTTAAATGCATTCATATGGCCCAGGTGATTGCAAGAACCACTTGGATTTGAGAATATATTTATGACATTTGAAGTATCATGTAAGGAAGGAATTGGCCATTATCTAAAGCAGCATACATGGTAACAAAGCCAGTGATTTGAACCTGTCACTCATTTAATAATTCACATTGGAAAAGGCACGTGAGATCATTGTGTCCAAGAGCAAACCTAACACTACCAGGTCTACTACTTAAATCTTGTCCCAAAGCACCCACCATGTGTGCATGTCTTTTAAGTACCTCCAGGGATGGTGACTTCATCACTTCTCTGGGAACCCTTTTCCAATGCTTGACAGGCTTTTTGGTGGAGAATTTTTTCCTAATATCAAATCCAAATGGTCCCTGGTACAACTTGAGGCCATTTTCTCTTATCCTGTCACTCGTTACTTGGGAAAAAAGGACACTTAACACTCAGACATGCTTTGCTGCAGCCTCCTGTGAGGTAGTTATAGAGAGTGATAAATTCTCCCCTGAGCCTCCAGCTTGATAGCCCCAGTTCCCTCAGTTGCTCCTGGGTGGACTTGGGCTCCAGACCCTCCACTTTAATCATGCAATTTCTTGCTCTAGTCATGACTGCAATTTGTATCTATGTAAGAATTTCTGTATGCTCAGCTTTGAGTGTTTCTCCTGCTGCTTCATGGAGCTGTTTTTATAGGACACTGAAAGTTTAATAGACCTTGGAGTCAGTAAAAACAAAGCATGTGAGAACAACTTTAGTTGTGGTTGTTCCCATGTTTTTGGTATTATTTCAGAATATGTCCTACTATGGTCAAATGTGCATCTGTTCAGATTTCTTGAATATATTTGTGACTGGGTTGGGGGCTGATCCCAGGTTCCTTCCACACTTAATAGCTCCATTAAATACTGTGGATATTCTGGTTGTGGGTTATCCCATTTTAAATAATCTCTACAGATTATTTAAATGCTTTAGTGATCAGTTGGTCAGGGCAGAAATCTTCTATAGTTGCCACTTGTGACAGAAAAGATCAAATGTGGGGTTTTTTTCTGTTCTGTAACCCTCTGTGGCCATTTCTATTTTCCAAATTTGCTTAGGCTGAAAATTACTTTTTAGCAAAATTTAGCAAGATAGGTTCTTGATTTCATGTGATGATACTGATGTTTTATTGTAATAGAAATTTGTAATGAAGATAATAGAAACTATTAACAGTATGCAGTTCTGCCTTCAGGATAAGAAAAATGGTGATGATTCCTGGAACCCTACTTTGTGGGAAAAAGATTGGAGGGGCTAACAACATGAGCTTAGGAGTGTGGAGAAAAGGATCTTCTCTCCCTTCTGGGCATGTAGAGTTGAACATTCAGTTTGCTTTGTGGTCTAGGTTTATTACTAAACTCTTGAGCAAGCCTGGAGGCATTTCCTAAATGAGACTGCAGCTACACAGCTTTTAAACTCAATTAGCCCTCTCTCCTGTGCTCTGTATGCCCTGTCAGTTCTAATGGACTTTCCTTGGCTCTGTGAGAAAGGGAAGGTGTGGGGGTCTGCATAACCAGCCCCCTTCTTCCCCCAGACTGAGTAGAATTGCTACATCTTATTGTGGCACTTGGATAGAAGCAATTTAAAGGTTCTCCAGAAAATTAAAATGTTAATTTTGCTTAAGCGGGGAAGACTGGGGAAAAAAGGGGTGGTCGTTCAACAGCAAAGAAATAAGTTAGCTTCTACTACCTGATCTGAGAGTCCTTCAGGGCCAAAGGAATACCAAACTGGGCTGTACTTTGTGTCATGTCAACAGAATGGGTTGGCCCACAGTGATCTTCTGAGTCTCGTGGTCTGCAAAATGCAAACATGAGAGAAAGCAACCCTATCACAACTAATAGCAAAAGAAGTGTCTTAAGAAAATTGCTATTCCCAGGAACACAGATTAGATAGTATTAGAGGGGTAGAAATTATAGCTTACCATTAAAAAAAACTAACAAAAATAAAGACAAAACACCTAATGACTACCTTATGGAAAACCCCATTTGTTAGTCTCCAAGCACAAGGAAATACTTGACCTGTTTTGAACAGCAGTGTTTTTATAGCATGCTTTTGTTGGATTGAAATATTTTTTTTTCTTTTCTGTTTGATCTAAAAGTCCAACTGTGTTAATTAAACAAATTAACGTAATGCATTAAGCTTGTAATATGATTAAAGGTATTACTAGAACTTTATGTAAGTTTTTTTTTTTTTCTCATTCTGTTAGTTTTGTCCTGCAATTGCAGTTCTATGCAAAACTGTAACTACATCTGGTTGAAAACTTAATACTATTTTCCTCTGTGTGGAAAATGCAGGAGGTTTTGAAGAAATACATATTTTAATGGAAGTTTTTCTGGGAAGGCCTTTTGTATGAGGGAAGGAAAAAAAAGCCCCCTTGCTGCCCTAGAAAGGTTGATGCCCTGGTGTTTTGGTGTGCCTCCAGAATGTCAGAGCTCTGTTGTCATTGGAGAAGGGCCTGGAAACCTGGGTTTCTGCTATTTTCTGTGAAAGTCTTGATGATCAGATTATCAGTCTGGAAAGTGATCGTGCTGCCTACATTTTCTCCTCCTCTTTCTTTAATGACAAGCTCCTTTTCCCAAAAGAAAATTAAAATAAGTTAGACATCCGTTTAGTCTAATCATAAAATTTCAGAAGTCTTTTTATCTCTCTGAGAAAGGAATATTATTTTCTGATCAAGTTTAACAGTAATGCATAGATCCATTGTTCATGTTGTCTAGTACTGAAAAAAAATATAATGATATAGTATGCTCTTAGTAATGAAATTGAAGCTACTGCCTGTGTGTGTAAGGAGGATGCTGTGGCTGAAGAGCTCTGGAGCCATGGAAAATTCTTGTGTTTATTCTACCGAGTGCAAAGAAACACCTTGCTGTCTGTGTGCTTGTTGGTGTACTTATTTTACTTTATCCGTAGTGAAAAACTAGAGCTAATGTTGAAAATGTATGGGCTTCTTTAAAAAATTCAAAACCAAGCAGAAGTAAGCAAGTTTGAGGGAAAAAAATCCTCTTCATAAAGCCACAGTGACTCTCTGTGGAAGATGTGTCTGATGTGTCTATGTCACAGTCTGATGTGTCTAGATCTCTTTTCCATTCATACAAAAACATGAAAAAAATCTTAGCTGGTCTATTACATCATCTCTTTTGAAGTACAAATGCTAATTTAAATCAGTCAAATATCTGTCTAAAAGCATGTGTGCTAAGATACTCCAGATCTTTTTTTTTTTTTTTAATGTACTTGAATACAGGTATATCTGATTTTCCCTAAAGCTTCTATCAGTGCGGAAAGAAAGGTGGTCCTTGGATCATGGTCCCTTGATCCTCATTTTTATTAGTTCGTGTTTTAATGTTTACCACTTAAATGGGGTTTTGAATGTGCTTCTGAATCACTATTTTGCAAAAAGAAACAGACACTGCAGTCCATCTCCAGCTGATTTCCCCCTTGCCTAAAAATTGGTGCTTTTCTCCTTTATTCTTTAGAAAAGATATTTTAAAATTAGATTCTGTTTTCCAGATAAGCTGCTCTTCACTTTTAATTCAAGGGAACAAGAGGTAGCCATTGGAGTATGTTTGATCTGTTTGAAACATTTCAGTCTGCTATGTCATTCATTCAGATGTTTGTTGGATGGACTTGAAAGTATGCTTTGGCTGCTGTTTAGAAAAATCTAGTGCCCTGTAGGTGCAATACATGATAAAAGGAAGTAATGCTCAAGACCTATTGTGTGTGGATTCCTGCATACTGTTTTTTCTCTTACTGCTTTTAGCTTGTTGACCTGCAGAAAAGGTTGTCTCCATGTTTTCTTCCTGTTATCGATGTGAAACTCTTCATTTCAGGTACTTTTTCACTTTGCTTTGACCTGTTTTTATAGTTTTTAGTGCTGCCTGTTTAACATGTGTGCAGCAAACTGCTGCAGTACTGAGTTCCTGCAGATGTTGTGAGCCAGTATGACTTTTATAACTGCCTTTATGACGTTCAATCATGGAAGCCTTGATTTAGGAAGAAGAAATCCAGTTCAATCATAGATGTCTTTAAATGTCCTGACCTACACCTGGAAAAAACAGTATAGCATTTTCTTGCACTGTCTGTGTGCTGAGCTGTCTGGGATGGTTTACTTTTGTGGCTTTAAACACATTAGGTAAAGTTTGGAGCCATCCAGTAATTGCATGTTCTAAGTTCCTTTTTTGCATCTACAGCAATCCTGTTAATGTTACCTCTTTAAAATTCTTTGTTAGTAAATATCATTAGATAAAAGGTTTTTGTACTCTGGATTTCTGCTCTGAAAAAGTCCATGAAATAAACACAGTATTACCAGCTGACTTCTGAGTTTAGGTTTACAGAGGGTTTTAGCAGGCTCTTAACAACTACACGTATGGCATTTTTTACCTTCTGATTTGGGGGAATGTTGCTTATCAGATAACCTGTCTTCTGATTGCCTTGCATATAAACTCATTCTAAAAGAGGGCCATTTTGTTTATTATGAGTTAAAAAACCTGGAAATCTGAAAATTAATTTAGCAAGAGCATTCCACTGTTGAAATAGTGGCCAGGACAGTACTATTTTTCATCTGTATTTTGATAGAATAATTTTGTGTATTTAACAAATCATAATTTTCATTATTTTCAAGATAAATTTCAGGAAGACAAACCTTAAACAGAGCGATATCAGTGCATTTTTCTGGGAGGGAAGTCAGACGTCAGGACTGTGTCACAGCCTGTGTGCTTGTGCCTGGATGGGGGAGTGAAACTGTATGGGGTGACCTTTCACATGAGTGTGCTAGGCAGTGTTTGCAAGACATGCCATCTTTCTTTGTATGTTTCAGCTGTTTTGTTTCTCCCTGCTCCAGAAAATAGCATTTTCTGTGATGTATCATAGAGCTTTCTCATTCCTCTCATCTCTACCATCAAAGCATCATATCATAGGTATAAATGCAAGATTTTTCTTTCTTTTTATGCAGTTTCTAAATAATGCTGCCAGGTTTGTCAAGTCGTATATGTAACCAACATTGTACACAGCTGTTTTTTAGAAAGCGGGGTAGAAAGGGAAATAATTAAATCAGCAATACTGGTCAAGAGTTGCTCTGAGGTATTTTCCAGGGGAAAGGACTTTAACAGTAAAGCCAGGACCCATTGGTCCTATTCTCTTTGCTTGTTCAGAGCATTGTTTTAGTCCCTTCCTTAAGATCCACCAAAAATCTTGGCTGCAAGCCCCTCCAGTTTGGGGGAGGGAACTAGAAATATAAAGATTTAGTATTCATTCTTTAAAACTGATATTCTAGCTCTTTTCCTTGCTAAGGTAGAATGAAACCCATAAACTATTGGTAAATGTCAACTAACCGCTAGACTTGAAAGAACCAGCAGCTGCTTTCTGCTTATGAAGCAGAGAAACTGTGTGGGAGGAGATGTAAAGAACCTCCTCAAGTACCTGCTATAACAGAGGGGCGGGGGAGAGACTGTACTGAATACAGGGTTTAACCTTTAGAATTCTTCTTCTGTTCTCTCATGCTCTTAGACTTGTATGAAAATGCAAAATGGCAATTGATTTGTTTCAGGTAAAAGCATCAGACAAAGGCCCCATGCCACCTAAAACTAATTTCTGATAAAAAATGGAGTACTCAGCTTGCCTGTATCAATTTTGTGTCTTTTAAAGATTTATGGTATGAATCTCATACACAGTTTTCAAATGCATTTAATGACTAATTGTTTGCAAAGGGCTTGAGTGTGCCTCAAATCAGATGCAATGTTTCAATGCAGCAATATTATTAACAGCATCGTTAGTGTAGTATTGAAATGGCAACACTTAAGAATTCATCTACCACAAATCTGAAATGATGAGTTTGTCTTGAATGCAAATAAACATAGAGGAAATAGATTGGGAGGTATTCATTCATGATGTATAAAATGAGATCAAAAATAGGTCACAGGTTTATGTTAATATAAATTGAGACAGATTCTAGCTTGGCAACACTGACCTAAAAGCTGTCTAAACAAAGCAACTAATGTTTATTCTGCTTCTAAAAGGATGTCTGTATCTGCTGTTGAGAAAAGACAAAGGGTTGTTCTGGGATGGTTTTTGGGGTCTTGAAGAAACATATTTATACATATTTCATCACTTTCTGATATGGAAAAAAATATGTATAGCCTCATTGGCTCATGGCAAAAACTATTTTTAGGTCTTTTAAGACTATTTGTGAAAACAGACTAGAAAATGTCTGTTTGGATTGTTAGGGTTTTTTTCTCCCTGAAAATAGTCAATTACAAGACACTTAATAAATTATCTGGAAAGTGTGATGGCAATCTGTCTTTTCTAAATGGAGACCTTTCTGTAGCTAGATGCTGTCTGTACTGGGCAGATGAAACAGCTCTCAAGGAATGATAAATATTGTTGAGTATGAGAAGACTGTTTTTACATTAACAGCTCTCATATGAACAAAAATTAAAAAGAATAGAACTTCAACTCTGTTATTTCACCTGCTCTTCTCTAAAACATGTCCTTTTCTGTTTGCTGACTACTCCCACTATAGAGCACTTGTCCACAGTCCTGGGAATTACTACTAACTCCCTAAGATGGGGGTGGGAAACTAGAACTGGTGAGCAAGGGCTGGAAGAGAGCACTTGTCCACAGTCCTGGGAATTACTACTAACTCCCTAAGATGTTGAGGGGTGGGAAACTAGAACTGGTGAACAAGGGCTGGAAGGGTACCAGCTGGAGGATATTTGCGACAGATCAGAATAACAGGAAGAGAGTAAAAAAGAAATGGTCAGCACTTTTGGCTTTTTAAAAGTGGGGTGCAGATGACTTGCTGTTATGTTTTTGCAATGTCTTGTTTCCAGACTGCTAGCTTAGTCAGCCACATCTTTAATTTGCCCAGTTTATAACAGCTACTTTGGCTGCTACCACAGAAAGAGAAATTATAATTTCCAAGCCTTCATTTCATCCCTCTTACCTATAATCCTCAAGTTCCAATCTGTCTGACCACTTGACTAGGCTTTTTAATTAACAAATCTTCTTGGGGGCCCTTAAATGTGTTTTGCATATACAGGAGCACTAAACAGCCTTGGAAACTCTTGATGAGATGAAAAACATCCTGCTGGGAATATAAAATGGCACATAATGCCTAGAATAATGATTTCCATAATTGAAATTTTCATGTGCTGTATTAAAAGGCATCATTTACCTGGGGTCCTGTGCTTTTGAAAAGAAAAATGGCTTCGTTTCAAGAACTTCTCTGTTTAACTCTATCTCTACAAGGTTTTGTTGATTCCTCAGAAGAAGGCTTATGGGCTTGGCAAAAAAGGCACAAAGCTCAGGATGAAAACTAGCAATTGAATATTTTTGTGCAGTCAGTGATTCATGTGTACTTACTTGATTTGCTCAAATGAGGCAGGTGGTGGAGTTCTGTAATGATCTTTACTTTGTACCTGAGACCACTGATCATTTGGCTGAGGCGGCACATTGTTAATGATGTGTTAATAAACAACGTAATTTGGGAAGGCAGACTCTTCGATAGAAGGTAACAGCCCTCCCTGCTGCCACTATCTTAATGTAATCGAAGAAAACATCTTGTTTTAATAATTTACTAATTGAATGGCACAGCAACTAATGTCTGGGATGTACCTTGGAGACCTGATTACGTGTTTCATCGACTTCTGGGGAACTGACACAGATGATGTTGGTCAAATTGCCCTCAGCTCTCTTCATTGCTGATCTGTAGCTCTGTGGTGATTTGTCTAGAAGATAAAGAAATAAAGAATTTTGTTTGATACTTCAGGATATGTCCAATAGATCAGCCAATAATTGATCCCGACATTCCCTAAGGAAAAATCGCTAGTGTCACTTTAAAGGTCTTAGTGGTTTTGTACAATCTATACTTTTCTTCAGATTTTCAGATAAAATAAGTTTTGCTTCAAGCCAGCTCTAAGTGAAATTAGTTTATTCAGAATATTAAATGTGACACAATACTATCAATAGGCCTTATATTTTCAATAATTTAAACATCATAAATAGGTACATCAGTGGTATTTTTTCCATGCTGTTTGGACTTGCTGTTCATGTAGGATCATTCAGACATATGAAACAATAAAAAATTGCCAGAAAATGAACTCCAGGATTATTTTGCAATACTACAGATAAGTGTTGGCAAGATCACTTTCTGAAAAATCAAATACTAGACCCTGTGTATGTTGGTTTTTTTTTCCATAGTGTAAGTCTGAATTAATTTTCTCTTAGAGAAAATTAATCCTACTTAACTATTGAAATGCAGGTCTAGGCAATAGTCTGATCTTTACTGCTGACATGCATCAGTCCTAATGAAACCTGCACCACTCCTGCACTTTTTAAGTAGCTCTGAATATTATTCCAATCTCAACCTGCAATATTCAAAAGCATGTGAGGAACTACATAAATGCTTCTCCCTGTCACTGAAGTGCAGTGGATTAGGTGATGGGATTCTCAAAGTCTTCTAAATTCTTGGCACTCAGGGAAGAAAATGCCAGGGCTCAAGTAACAAATATTTGAGTTGCTTCTCAAAGGCATTTTATTAAATTGGACTCCTTTAAACAAGTTTAGTATCAGGTAAGTACGGTATATTAGATCTAAATTTTTTTTTTTCAATTCTATACTTTTTAGTGGTCTAATGGTTACTTTCTGAAGAACTTTTGGCCTTGCAAAATACTGTAATTACACAGCATGTTCTCAAAAAAACTGGTGTCTAGTATTAACCATCTTGTGGTTTCATGGAAGACATTTTGAGAATTTCAGATCCATCTTGTTCAGCTACGCCTTCTCTATTATGATTAATGGAGGAACATGCACATTTGAATTCTTTGAATAGCTTTAAAAGTCTCACATTTTTTATTTGTCTATTTTATAGGACATAAAAAAAGCCCCATCACCCCTCAGGGCATTAAAGAACAGTGCTTTAATTACACAATGCCCATTAATGCTAATAAATTTCATGCTAAGGACCTATGCTGTACCAGTGCCAAGGAAAACATAAGTCTCCTTCCTTTTCAAGCCCCGTGCCACACTCTGCCTGGACGTGTGGCCATTAAAAGGAGCTCCGTTGCAAAGACAGACGTTAGACACAGATGCAAGATTTCATGTTGACTTTCAACAGCTTCTATAGGTTGAAATAGCGTTAGCATTTATTTTTCAAGTAATCTTTAGAAGTATATAGATAGAAATAGGTGACAGAACGTGTGTGAAATCAAGTGATAATATTTTTCATTGCTGCACTCTTTCTATAATCTGATATAAGCTAAGTTTTCTCTGGGAAGATTACTTCATAATGATACTCTGAAGAATGAGTTTACCAGCTCATAAATGTATAAGAGAAAGGATGTTTCTAACTGTTCATCAATCTTATTTGATTCTCTGCTGTTTCTCTTACCTAAGTCATTAACTGCAGCCCCCCCTTTTTTTTTTCTCCCCATATAGCTCTTCTGTTAGTATGTCTAGAATTTGACCTCAGAATTAAATCTCCTTTTATCTTGGAATATTCCTAGAAATCAGGCAATCATATTATTCTTGATGTATGTGTACAAGTACAACAGTTCTACTTTGAGGGTGGGTGGAGTAGAGGAAGAGTTTGAGATTCAGTTTATGAGAATTTGAAGTGAGGGGAATATGGCAGTAGGTGTATAAGACTGGGAGATGCAGACTTTTTTTTCATCTCTGCAGTAAGAGAACATCTAGGATCTCTTTGTATTAACAAAAGAAAATGGTGGTTTGATCTGGGTGAGAATGGAGACCAAATGGACACAGCTATGCATTTAGCAGGGTCTGAATGATGGTTGGGTGGTAAAATGGATTAAAAGCCTCAAAATAATTTAGATGCTGACTGGCTATGAAGTGTTAGAACATGCCCAGACTTAGCAAGTGAGAGGACAGCTGGAACAGCCAAAGGAATGGGAAGAAATTTCATGAAAAATAAATGTGGATTTGTAACTAAATGTGCAGTGTTCAAGTTTTCTTATGTTCCTGGTACTTTACCTCAGGTGTAATGTGGAGAATAGGGTTGGGTTTTGGTTTGTTTTTTTTTTTTTTTTTAATAAGTAGCTCTGGAGTACCCCCAATCCTTGTGTAACAATTAGTGTTGATATTTTGAAGGGGATTTATTAGTTAGTCAAAGGATTACCAGCCCTTTCTTTCTTAAGTCGTTTGGCAGGGCAGTCTTCACAAGCAGACAGAAGGGAAGAGAGGCTGTACCTGGGTTCGGAGGCAGAAATGTGCCACACCCTCATGGGCAGAAGGAAGGGGAAACATGAGGGTGAACCCAGAAGAGAGCTGAGCTTTCTGCCCACGGTTCTTCCTACAAGGCAGTGGGCCCTTCAGGGTCTTTTTAGAGTGCTCTCAGTACTTGTTTATCTTCAATCACAAACCTGTCTATTCAGGGCATTAATCACGTTCTTAGAATGTTTATTATATAACATTTTCTGTGTTCTGTTTATACTGCATTAGTGTTCTGCTGCAGGAGTGGAAGACTTTGACTGAATTTGAGTGCCTCTGTAGAAGCAGCCTCCCATAAGACAAAGTATATTACAAGTGGGGAGTTTGTAAGAATGTTATGTGTTGATGAGCACTAATTATCAGAGCTGGGAGCATTTTGAAAACCTTTCTGATGACCAAAAACTCCATTTTACACCTCTACTTCCTAAACTGCCCGTCTGGTGGGAGGTCATGTTATTTTTAACAGTACCACTGAATCCTAAAGGACTGAAATCAGACTTAAAACAATAGCTTCTAATCTTATATGCTGTTGTGAATATCCTTTTTATTTTTAAATTATTGAGCACCTTGAGTTGTCCCAAATCTTCCCCACCGTAAATTGGACTTTCCTCAACTTTGACTAGTTCAAGAAGAAATCCTACTGTTGCTTTTTCTCCTGCTCTGCTTGCCTGCATTCACCTCACTGCTGCTCTCCCTGCTCAGAGGCAGACCTGTTCCAGCTCAGTGAGGAGTGCCAGTCATGAAAGTAGTAAACTTGTTATGAAAAACTTGAAAACTTGGATGTGCCTAGGTGCCAGGCTTTTAAACTCATTGCAGCTTTATTAATAACACCCTGGGTGAAGCATCTCTTAGTAGTAAACATAGTTGAACAGATTTGAGCTGAAAAGCTGGATTTACTTTCTTTTGGTTGTGTGCTACAGCTTTATTGGGAGATGATTTAGAGCAACAGCCGTGCACTCTTAGTTTGGATCATGTTAAACTGAAGGTTCTCCATGACTGAAAATGTTTTTTCTGACTTTACGAGAGCTTTCCCTCTCCTAACCCCTATAGTACTTAGCAGTTTAAAAAGAGCCATGAGTCAAATAGCATTTGTTGAGCTTACCCAATAAGCACATATAATTTCACTTTTTCTTGAAACATTCATTTCTGCTCTGCTTTTGAGATGACGTGTGTGCCCATGTGCTATTCTTCTCCGTAGTAGTTTCTACATGAAATCTATTTCCCTGGAAAAATGGAATCTTTGTGTCTTTGTCTCCTCACTAGCTTTCAGGCATGTTTTGGCAGGGGCTCTGACTCCGTCGAGGCACTGGAGAGGAGGGGCACTCATTTGTCAGCTTTTCTTGCATCTGTAATTTTTGCCCACTCAGCAGTACTGGAGGGGCTTAAAAAAGGGGGAGAACTTGCAGTTGTTGAAAGTCAAACTCCTGAAATAATTGCCAGACTGTAACAGTTTGGGAAAGAGGTGCATGTGAGAGAACAACAAATGCTTTGGCTAAAACCAGCTTTATCTTTAAGGTTTTAGCAACTCTCCATTTCATGTAATTGCATGCCTTTTCCCCATAGATCTTTACAGGCAACGATACTGTGTTTTTATAGATTTGCTCATTATGAGTTGATAAACTGGCTTTTCTTAATGATGGTGAAAATAATTTCACTGGTGGTCAAGACTTGATTGTTTCCAACCAACAGTTTAATTTAAAATGCTTAAGTCTTCTCCAACTTTTGTTCTAATCCTTTCCTGCAATCTCCCTTCACAAGCTGTGTGCTTTCATCTCCTCATGTAATGTAACTGAACAGAAATTAGTTAATTTTTTTATTATTAGAAGACAGATCCCTTCATACTAAGGAAAGCATTTTTCCTCTTCAGCTTTTTATGGAATATTAAAGTTGATCTCTCCTCGTTTCAGTAGGCTATTTAAGCTCAGGGCTCATACTGTGAGCTGTTAATTAATCAGTGTGACAGATGAAGAAAGTATCCAACTATGAAAGGAAACCTTACTTCAGTGACTAACAATAAGGATGTGAGCCCGAGTGATTTAAAGGATTTTTTTTTTTTTGTGAACGTGTGATAAGGAGCCTTAAGCTGTTTGAGGTAACGATGGGGGTTTTTTTGCTCAGATTGTGTCACTGCACAAACATTAAAGGGCTCATCAATATTTTGTCTTGAAAAGTCTAGACAGGAGTTAAAAGAGCCTCTCCTACAGTTTGAAGAGATCCTGTTTCCCATAATTAATACCAGGAAGCAAGTAAATAAGACTTTACTGACAAATGAAACAGCAACAGTAACATGTACCCAGAAACATTAGCTCCTGGCTGAGAAATGTAGCTGAGGTCTGTTGATTTTAGTGTACAGGAAAAGATCACTGTGGAAGCACAGAAGAGCTTTGCTCATGTCTAATTCAGTTATGTGATAGCAGACTAAAAGTCAAAAAGCAATGATAATGCATTGTAATTATTGATAGTGATTAGTGACCTTTGTTTACATCTGTGTTACAGTCCA